AAGACATTGACTAAGTTTTAATGGGCTAGCAAGAAATATGTTATTCTGATGAGGATTGAGTCGTACAACAAGCAGATGCCTACTAGGATTATAACAACCGTTTACCTTCTTTCAGTTCTGATCTTTGTCTTGGGTGTAGTTTTGGTTTCAATTGATTCTGTTCGCTTTAAGGCAGGCCAATATATGGCAATAGGTGCTATAGCTTTTGATATAATTTTCACTCTGTTTGTTGTTTGGATGAAGCAGAATAAAGATCTGTTCAAATTCTTTTTCTGGTGGAAGCGAAAAGAAAATGAACAAGATGTTCTTGGATTTGATGTGTCCTTTGGTGATGAATTTGGGAATGGCATGGGGCCTAGGAAGTTCTCTTACAATGAACTGGCTAAAGCAACAAACAATTTTGCAGATGATGAGAAGCTTGGCGAGGGAGGGTTTGGAGCAGTTTATAAAGGAGTCTTGCGGGATTCCAGTACAAATGTTGCTGTTAAAAGGATTTCCAGGAGTTCCAAACAAGGAATCAAGGAGTATGCATCAGAAGTGAAGATTATTAGTCGATTGAGGCATAAGAATTTGGTGAAGCTTATTGGATGGTGCCATGAAAAGGAACTCTTACTTGCTTACGAGTTCCTGCTTCATGGCAGCCTGGATTTTCATCTCTTCAAAGGAAGGAGCTTGTTACCATGGGAGATTAGATACAAAATTGTGCAGGGTTTAGCATCAGCGTTGTTGTATCTACATGAAGAAGGAGATTTCTGTGTATTGCATAGGGACATAAAAGCAAATAACATTATGTTAGATTCGGCTTTCAATGCTAAGCTTGGGGATTTTGGGTTAGCTAGACTAGTTGACCATGGAAAAGGGTCACAAACAACTCTATTGGCTGGAACTATGGGCTACATAGCTCCTGAGTGTCATAGAAAAGGCAAGGCAAGCAAGGAATCGGATGTCTACAGCTTTGGAGTTGTGACACTTGAAATTGCATGTGGCAGAAGGTCAATAGAGCCTACATTTGACGAGCAAGAGGTGTCACTGGTGGATTGGGTATGGGAAGCATATAGGAATGAAATGCTTCTTGGTGTAGCTGACAAGAAACTTTCTGCAGATTTTAATGCGAAAGAGATGGAGTGTTTGCTACATGTTGGGTTGTGGTGTGTGCATCCTTCTCCCAGTATGAGACCATCAATTAGGCAAGCAATCCAGGTGCTTAATTTTGAGGCAATGCTACCCAATCTAAAATGTAAGGTGCCTATACCCAACTATGATATCCCTAGTACTTTCGTCATCAAAACAAGTGAACCTAGTTCACTGAGCATTACTTTGCCTCGCTAATTTTCATGTCTTATCTAGTACAAATTAGTTTTGATAATAAACAGGTGTGTTTATTGTTTGAGATTACTGGACTCTTGGCATGCTAGTTTGAATTTACTAATCTTGTGGCTTTTTCCGGTCTTAAGGTGTTGTTTGGTAAATTTATTGTCTTTTGACGTTGGCAAATGGCAATTTGCATCCTGAGTTATTGGCAGAAAATTAATGGTATGTATAGACTGGTGATTTTGGAAAATTAAGGATTAGTACTGAACGAATGCAGGGACAATATTCATTGTGCAACAATCTGAGCTTAATCAGAGTTGGAGGTTTTATTTTTATTATTTTATTATTATTGCTATTATTATTATTGATCTGCAAAGCAGTGTTCGAGTTATGCAAAATTGAAACTTTGGCTTTTAATTCTAAAATGAGATGAGGTTCAGCTTGACAGTATTCGAGCACGACTCAGCTAGGTCCCTTCCCCCCTTAAATATGAGGCAACAAGATGATTCCTAAATTAATCATTTTATGGAAAAGATGAAAATATGTGTTGACATTCAAAGTCTAAGTTAAGAACTGGCAATCAACAATAATTTAGAGACGGACAGAATTTTCTCTGATGAGTTTTCTCTTTGATGTTCTATTCCATTCTGACCAAAGTGGGTTTGCATAATCTTTCAGCAACTCTCTGTTTTGCTGGATTGGCACTAATTACCATAAATAAATTATTACTGAGCTTTTTACATCATAATTGACCATTTTGACTATTCTCTCCCCCTAAAAATTCTCTAGAATTAGTACAAACTAAGCATTCCGCAATCCTCCCAAGTTGACTTTCTTTTCCTCAGCTTTATTTCTTTAACTAGTTCGTTTAACCCACTCAATAACCGGGTAATGTGTTTTGATTTTAAAATAAATATAAATACAACAATAACAATTAAAAGAGCTAATAAAGATAATTTCATCATAAGATTATAATAATTTATTTTAAAATATTTAATATCAAGTGTAAAATTTAATACCTTCCTATATAAACACAAAAGAAGAATTAAAATTATGCAAAATTTTAATTATAAATATTAGTGGAACTAAATAATTTAGTTATTTGCACTATCATATCTAAAAAGAAAATCATTAAATAAAAAATCATGTTTTAATTACATAATATAAAAACATTTTAAATTTAACTCTAAAATCCAAAATAATACCTGACCTGATGCGTGAATATGGCCAGTGTGTGAACAGTGTTTTCTCATATTCAAAAAATCAGAGGGGAAGGTATATTTTACATGAAATGCCAATGAATAGTCTAAAATAGTGCCAAAATTTATATGTATCAATATTAATATATCATTATTTTTATTGTTATTAATGAAAGCTCACTCTTTTTAATTTTGATTAGTTTTAATCTTTATTTTAAGATTTTTGTCTATAAATTTGACCAAAAAGTTTTCTATAAAAAACATAATTATTTAATATGAAAAAATTTTAGATAATTTAATAACTTATATCCATAATTTTAAATATAAGTCAATAATCAAAATTATATTCAATTATTTTAATTTTATCTGAATTTATTCAAATATCTAAATTATCCAAATCAAAATTTAAAAATTCAAAATAAAAATTTAAATATTCTAATAATATCCAAAATATATCCACCCAACACTTCATTGTGCCTTCATAAATATCTGAAAACTAAATGGAAAGATGAAATTTACAAAGCAACCAAGCAACCCGCGCGTGAATAGTGTTCTTTGCTCTTCGAATAGCTCAAAAAACTAGAGAGAAAGGGAATATTTACATCGAATGCCAATAAATTGATGAATACTCTATGAATGGTGCATGAATAGTCTATGAATAGGTTATGAATAGTTTACCAATAGTAACCTCCTTTGTAAAATCGCACGAAAAGACGAAAAAACTAGTTTAGGTGGGCACTATGCAAAGGCAAAATGGGGCATTGGGAATTTTGGAGGACTCACCTTTTATGCTTTTAGTGACGATGATACTCCATCTACTTAAGATAATCTCATTTTTTATTTAAAATTATTAAAATTATTTTTAAAATTTTTTCTCCCATTCAATTCAAAAATTTTGAGTGGTAATATTCATCAAAAAAATTTTAAGGTAATAATTTGTTTTAACTCAATTATTTTATAAAGTAATTTGCACTTTTTATATAAAAAATTATCAATATTTTAAAATAAAAAGAGTAAATATAATGTGATAAATATATAAATTATTGTTAATTTTTAATTAGTTAAAACATCAAAAAATAATTATTTAAAAATAGAGTGTTCCTAATTTATATTCAATCAAACTCTTAAATAATAGTTAAAGGGTATGGTTGAAATTGTTGTTTTAATAATTACAAGGTGTCAGTGTTTGTTCAAATCAAAGAAACAGTCCCCTGCCATCCAGCCCACCTTCTGGACTATTTTTTTTTTTTTTGGTTTTTCGCTTTGTATCCGAGATTTCGTCCCGATTAATCTGGATTCGACTCGCGTCGTACACTTGAAAATTCTGGGTGAATCTTTCAGCGGGGGCTGCTGCATACACAAAGTCTCAAACTCAAAATGTTGTTTAAACTGAAATAAGTCACTTACCACTTGATCCAACTCCTCGTTGGTCATTCTGAACTATTACTTGTAAAAAAAACCAACTTTTAAAAGGCCTAGGACTGAAGTGAAGGGGCGAAATATTTAGCAGCCCTCCTACCCCGGTACCCCCAAAAGAATTGGGCTACTTAGTTGCGGACTTCTGTACTATATTATTTGTATGGTCTTATATTTTAACATTTAAGGGCCTTTGAGCCTTTTCTTTCCCTCAACTTGTCTTTTTTTTTTCTTTATTTATGGGTTAGATGTTTGGTTAACTTCGGTACATTTCAAAATTAATTTTCATCTAATAATTTAAAGGCGCACAACAGCATGCAAGTTTAATTTCTTTGCTGCTGAGTTAAGACTTCAACCTGAACATTAGTTATAAGCTTATATATACTATAAGATAACACTTTAATTACGTATTTGCTTCTCAAATCATGTCTCTTAATTAATTTCATTTCCCATCAACTCGAAATCAATGAATAGCAGGAGAGAATCAATGGTGAGAAAGGAGAAAAAGAGAAGAAGGTCGCTTTGAACACAAAAGCTCTGCCGC